TTGAGCTATAGGCGCCGAGCCTGTATGTATCATCTTGATGTGCAATTTGTATCTTATTGTTAGTTACAGTCAAAAAAAGTTTGAATACAAAAAAAATACTCAATTAAGTGTAAGCAGAATGGAAGGGGTTCTACTGGATAAATGTTCTGGTTTCCTCAATAAGCACATGGCATGTAAAAAAAAAATGGGGGAAGGAAACTTTTATACATTAAAAGAGACTTACATATTGAGCAAAATGCAATGTGTAGGCTAGGCGCAGTGGTTCATGCCTCTAATCCTAGCACTCTGGGAGGCAGAGGTGGGTGGGTTACCTGGGCTCACAAATTTGAGACAAGCCTGAACTAGAGCCAGAGCGAGACCTCATCTCTAAAAATACAGCCAGGCGTTGTGGCGGGGACCCTACCACCCTGGAGGCTGAGACAAGAGAATAGCTTAAGCCCACAAGTTTGAGGTTGCTGTGAGCTGTGATGCCACAGCACTCTACCAAGGGTGACAAAGTGAGACTCTGTCTCTAAAAAAAAAAAAAGCAATGTGTAGAGGACCTTGTTTGGATAGAGATTTGAAAAAAACAACTCTAAAAAGACAAATTTGGAATAATTGAGTAAACATAAATACAGAATATATAATACAATCAGATGCTACAAAACAACATTTTGGTCCACAATGGACTGCATATACAACAGTGCTCCCATGAGATTAAAATAGATCTGAAAAATTCCTAAGACCCACTGATGTCATGATGTCATAGTGCAATGTATTACATGTCTGTGATAACACTGGTGTAAACAAACCTATTATACAGCTAGAAGTATAAAGGTACAGCAAATACAATTATGTACAGTACATAATACTTGTTAATATTAATAACTGACTATGTTACTGATTTAAGTATTTACTGTATTTTTATCATTATTTTAGAGTGTACTCCTTCTACGTATTTAAAAGTTAACAGAGAATTTGTGGCTTATAAAAAGAAAAAAAATAAAAGTTAACAGTAAAACAGCCTCAGGCAGGTTCCTCAGGTGGTATTTCAGAAGAAGGTATTGTTATCATGGAGATAACAAATCCATGCAGGTTAATGCCCTTGAAGGCTTTCTAGTGGGACTAAGTGTGGAGGAGTAAGACAGTGATACTGATTAGCCTGACACTGTGTGGGTCTAAGCTAATGTGTGTGTTTATGTCTTAGTTTTTAACAAAAAAGTTTAAAAAGTAAACACAGAAAAAAGCTTATAGAATAAGGATATAAAGAAAATATTTTCATACAACTATACAATGTGTTTCTATTTTAAGCTAAGTATTATTATAAAAAAGTCTAAAAGCTTAAAAAAATTACATTTAGAAAATAAAGTTACAGTAAGCTAAGGTTAATTTATTATTGAAGGAAAATTTATTTTTTGTTAATTTAGCATAGTCTAAGTGTATAATGTTTATAAAGTCTACAGTAGTACAGAGTAATGCCTTGAGCCTTCAAATTCATTCTTCCAGTCCTGCAGCCTGCATCATGCTAAAGGCCTTATACAGGTGTACCTTTTCTTATCTTTTATACTCTTATTTTTAACTGTATCTTTTCTGTGTTTACATGCACAAAACTTAACATTGTGTTACAATTCCCTACAGTTTTCAGTCGTCACCATGCCATGCAGGTTTGTAGCAACTGGCTATACCATATAGCCTTGGTATGTCATGTAATATCTAGGAGCCTGTAATATCTACGTTTGTGTAAATTGCACAATGATCCAAGGACATATTTCTCAGTAAAATCGCATCATTAAGCCATGAATAACTGTATATAATATTATATAATTTTTGTTAATTTTGTCAGCCGTGGTAACAGAATTGTAGTTTTACAAACTTCCTAATCTGTTAGCTACACATACTGAAGTACTTATGTGAAATCATATGATATCTCAGATTTCCTTTCATGTGTTGATAATTGTTACGGGTGGATATTAGGTGCTTGAGGGCTCATTATATTTTTTTCTATAATAAAAAGCTTCAACAGTGTTTGAAATCCACTATCCTAGGTAACAAACTAGGCAAGGAAATTTTTTAACCTAGCCCAATCATTTCTGAACAATCAAGAGACCAAATCAAACAAAAGAGTAATTAAATAGCAGCCCTCAGGAATAAAAATAAAAATATTAGGGCGGCGCCTGTGACTCAAAGGAATAGGGCATGAGCCCCATATGCCAGAGGTGGCGGGTTCAAACCCAGCCCTGGCCAAAAACTGCAAAAAAATAAAAAATTAAAAATATATATTCAGATCTTTATTTAAGTCACTTCGAGGAATATGTTCTATTTATGAGCAAACACATTTTATTAATAACATGGATTGTTATGAATTTAACTCAATGCTTCACAGACCCAGATTTTTAAGAAATTTTTTTTTTTTTTTTTGAGACGGAGCCTCAAGCTATCCCCCCTCCGTAGAGTGCCGTGGCATCACGCTCACAGCAACCTCCAACTCCTGGGCTCAAGCGAGTCCCCTGCCTCAGCCTCCCAAGTAGCTGGGACTACAGGCGCCCGCCACAACACCTGGCCATTTTTTGGTTGCAGTCATCATTGTTGTTTGGTGGGCCCGGGCTGGGGATTCGAACCCGCCACCTTAGGTGTATGTGGCTGGCGCCTTAACTGCTTGAGCCACAGGCACCGAGAAGAAATAGAATTTTAAGGCCAGGCATGGCGGCTTACGCCTATAATTCTAGCACTCTACGAGGCTGATGCAAGAGGACTCCTTAAGCTCAGGAATTTGAGACTAGTCTGAGCAAAAGCAAGACCCTGACTCTAAAAATAGCCAGGCATAATGGCAGGCGCCTGTGGTCCCAGCCATTCAGGAGGCTGAGGCAAGAGACTCACTGGAGCCCAAGAGTTTGAGGTTGCAGTTAGACACCATGGAACTCAACTGAGGACAACAGAGTGAGAATCTGTTTCAAAAAAAAAAAAAAAGAAGAAATAGAATTGTACATATGTTTCCAGATGACCAGCCTCTCCCTTTCTTTTGTTAGATTAAATAAAAAAAGTCTATGAAATGAACCCTCATGACAGGTGAGAAAAGAAATCAAGAAAGCATTTTAATGCCATTACAGTTGGGAAAACAGACAATAAGAGATCCAGCACACATTTATTTAACATTAGTACTAAAGGTAAATGAATTAAAAAAGAACTTTATATTTTTTAAGAGACTGGGTCTTGTTATGTTGCCCAAGCTGGTGTACAGTGACTACTCACATGTGTGATCATAGTGCACTGTAGACTCGAACTCCTGGGCTCAAGCAAACTTGCCTCAACCTCCAAGTAGCTAGCACTACAGGCTCCCACCATGCCTGGGTCAAAAACATTATGAGTCTTGAATATAAGATCAGGACTTAATATAAACAGAAATGATAAGAAAAGAATTAAGAAAAAAAGAATTGAATGATGCCTAAAGTTTTACTTATTTTTAAACTTTTTTTTCGACAGAGCCTCAAGCTGTCCCCCAGGATAGAGTGCCTTAGCATCACAGCTCACAGCAACCTCCAACTCCTGGGCTCAAGGAATTCTCCTGCCTTCACCTCCCAAGCAGCTGGGACTACAGGCGCCGCCCAAAATGCCCAGCTATTTTTTGGTTGCAGCCATCATTGTTGTTTAGCAGGCCTGGGCTGGATTCGAACCTGCCAGCTCAGGTGTATGTGGCTGGTGCCTTAGCCACTTGAGCCACAGGCACCTAGCCTATTTTTAAACTTTTTATGTAAATAATTAGAATAGACTATAAACAGAAATTAATTTATAAAAGGGAAGGCTGGTTGGTGGTTCACTGAGGTGAGTGGATTGCTTGAGATCAAGAGTCCAAGACCAACCCAAGCAAGAGTAAGGTCCCTGTCCCTACTAAAAATAGAAAAACTAGCTGAGTGCTGTGGTGGGAGCCTGTGGTCCCAACTACTCAGGAGGCTGAGGCAAGAGATTGCTTGAGCCAAAGAGTATGAGGTTGCTGTTAGCTATGATGACACCACGGCAGGCACTCTACTTATGGAGACAGAGTAAAAAAAAAAAAAAAAATCAAGAGAGAATATAAATACTATACTTATAAATGTTCACTATAACTAGTCAAAATAAGGACATTAATATAAAATTATCATTTTTACTCATTAAATTAATCTCAAGGAACTATAACATTTGGCATACTATTTCAAGAAATATAAAATAGGCATATCAACCAGTTGGCCAGTTAGCTCAGTTGGTTAGAGCATGGTGCTAATAAAATAGGTATATTCATTAACTCAGTAATTTTACTCCTAAGGCTCTGTCCTTAAGGTTTCAAACTATTAAAAAAAAAAAAAACAAAAAACCAATGTGCCAAAGGCCACTTAAATGTATAACAGCTTAAATAAATTATAATATAATTAAAGCCATGAAAATTAATAGACATGAGTTTATAAAGTGAAAAGAAGCTTATACAAGGTATACTAAGATAGAAAAATAAGAAACAAAATTGGTGAGTCAATATACTGAAAGATTCAAGGCCTGTCTACTTAATGATAGTTGGCAGCATATCCTAACTATAAGAAAATGACCACAGAAAAGCATTCTTGAGTGCCAAAATCCCAAATTTAAAATATAAAGCCATGACAATATCCTAAATGTCCAATTTGTTTTACATAATAAATTTCAAATTTAATACTGCATATATAATACACGTATATTCGTAGCTGTTAAAACACAATATTTTTTTATTTTTGTTTTTTTTGAGACAGGGTTGGAGTGCAGTGATGCCATCATAGTTCACAACAACCTAAACTCCTGGGTTCAAATGATCTTCCTGCATCAGCTTCCCAAATAACTGGGACTACAAGTGCATGTCACAACATTTGGTGAATTTTTCTATTTTTTTGTAGAGACAGTGTCTCTTGTACAGGCTGGTGTTGAACTCCTGACCTCAAGCAATCCTCCCACCTCGACCTCTGAGAATACCAGATTACAGGCATAAGCCATTGTACCTGGCCACAACACAGTATTTACTTATGAACACAAAGTAAAATATCATAGAACATACTATACTTTAAAGAGTCAACAGTTTAGGAACTCCCAAATCCACTAAAATATATATATATATATATATATATTATTCATACTTAGGGTTAAGTCTAAGCAAACAGTTTATTTCAGACAAACCTATTACTCTAATGGAAACGTCATCAAGCTTGTGGTCTCCAGCTGCTCCAGGAATAAAAAATGCTATGCCTCCTTTACAATAATTAAGTAATGATTGAGGGAAAGGACTCAATGAAGGAAGGGACCCTTTCATTCGAATCTGAAAGTAAAGAATATGAGAATATATTAATTATTGGTAATATAAATCATTTTTAAAGAAAACTATAAAAAAAACTAGGTAAGATAAACATACAGAATGGAAAACACAGCACAGTTCTTTTTCAGAAACTTAAAAAATTTAATTCAAGAAATTCACTAGATTATATCTCAAAAGAGAAAAAGATTTTAACCAAATCATTTGCACTCTCTTATCATTCAGTTTTGGCTGTATAAGAATAATTAACACTATTTGTCCCTGGCTTTCCCCTTATGCTAAATGAAGAAAATAAAGAAATTTAACTATCTAAATCTCATTCAAAATAAAACTATGTACAGTAACTAAATCCAAATACAAAAAATTTGCATGTGTAAGTTACAAATATAACTTTTAAAAATTTTATAATTTAAATGTCTAATTTATAAATGACAGATTCAGAAAGTCACCATTTGGCAACCCCTCATAAAATGACTTTAGGCAAGGAAGATCAGTGAATACTAAATCAGGTAAAAAGTTGATTGGGATCCTGATAGAGAGTGAGATATGACCCAAACTCATTGACCAGTTTTACCATCACAAAAGTGAAATGAGCAGAAGACACATACGCTACATGATATGGTGCAACAGAGAAGTGTATACACACCACATGCAAAGAATTGATTCCTAAGAAAATTTTAATCTGAATCTATTCAAACCGCTCCACCTCAATGAGTATAGAATAATTACTAGCTTACAGAAAATAAAAGAAAGAAGGAACAAGTTAAATGATACTTAATGAAGAAATCACACAAATCTAGAATATGGTAGAAGACATATAACTCAAAAGACTGAGTTATATGTTTATATATGAGTTATATGTTTATAACAAACAAAGAAAAAAGGGGAGGGAGTCTGTTACAGACAAAAGAAAAGGACAGCAGACGCTGTGGGGCTTGCCTTTAGTCCCAGCTACTTGAGAGGCTCAGGCAGGAGGATCCCTTGAGCCCAGTAGTTTGAGGTTGTAGTGAACTCTGAGAACATCACTGCACTCAGGTGTTATCAGGCAAAGGAGAAAGACTCTATCTCCAAAACAAACAAAAAACAGACTTTCAACCTATTTTCTCCTCCTATTAGTCACTTTCAGAAAGACGGGATCTAATCAAATCCTCTTGTTAAGCGTGGTAATGACATACTTTCTGTCAAATACATTAAATAGCATTTACTCTCAGCAGTTAGTAATAGGATGGTACTAAGTGGTAGAGACAGAGACAGTAAGGAAAGAAGAAACCTCAGTCCTACAGGCACATGTAACTGAATTCTTCCAATAATTTCAATTAGGCTGGAAATAGATTGCACCCTGGAACCTTGATTGGCCTTGTGAGACTCTCAGTAAAAGACCTAGCTGAGCCATCCTGTGTTTAGACTTCTGATACACAAAAGGTGCAAGATTAGTATGTGTAAATAAATGTTCTTTTCAGTTGTTAAATTTATGGTAATTTGTTAGGGTGGAAATAGAAAACTAGTAAGAGTGTAGAATATTCACTTCATCTCCATTTTTTCTTTTTTTTTGAGACAGAGTCTCAACCTGTCACCCTAGGTAGAATGCCGTGGCATCACAACTCACAGCAACCTCAAACTGTTGGGCTTAAGTGATTCTCTTGCCTCAGCCTCCCATTTAGCCCCATTTTTAATTGAGGTATAACTTACATACCATAAAATTCACCTTTTATTAATTTATTTTTGGAGACAAGGTCTCACTCTATTTGCTCAGGCTGGTCTTGAACTCCTGGCCTCAAGAGATCTTCTCACCACAGCACCCCAAGTAGCTGGGACTATAGGTGTGTACCACCATACCCAGCTAAAAATTACCTTTAAAAAGTACACAATTTAGGGCAGTGCCTGTGGCTCAAAGGAGTAGGGCCCCAGCCCCATATATCAGAGGTGGTGGGTTCAAACCCGGCCCTGACCAAAAAAATAAAAAAGTACACAATTCAGTGCTTTTTAATATATTAACAAAATTAGGCAACTATCACCACTGCCTAATTCTAGGACATTTTTATCACCCCAAAAGAAAACTATTGGCAGTCATTTCCTATTTCCTCCTCCTCCTCCCTAGCCACTGGCAACCGCTATTGTACTTTCTTTCCCTATTAGGATGAAAAAATTTTAAATGAGTACAGTATAATTTATATTTTTACAGAAGCTATATGCAAATTTCACAAATCATCTTTCTCTAAAAAAGTCTAAAAAAATATTCAATAACTAAAAATCTCTCCAAAATTTCCTCAAAAAAACAGTTATAGATCGTTGTTTTAAATTTAATTTTAAAGTGATACCCTGTCTCTTAAAAAATTAATTTGAGGCTTGGTGCCTGTGGCTCAAGCAGCTAAGGCGCCAGCCACATACACCTGAGCCGGCGGGTTCGAATCCAGCCTGGGCCCGCCCAACAATGATGGCTGCAACCAAAAAATAGCCAGGCGTTGTGGCATGCACCTGTAGTCCCAGCTACTTGGGAGGCAGAGGCCGGAGACTTGCTTGAGCCCAGGAGTTAGAGGTTGCTGTGAGCTGTGTTGCCACAGCACTCTACCCAGGGCAATAGCTTGAGGCTCTGTCTCAAAAAAAAAAAATTAATTTTAATCTAAGGATTAATTAAAAATATTTTGAAGTGATAAAATTTATTTTCACATTTCAGAAAGCAATTATCAGGCCTACAAAGGACTTAGAGCTGGATAAAGAGACATACCAGATGTCCCATCAGCCAGAGATCAGCTGAAGACAAAGAGCTCAGCTGACGTCATTACAGAAGGGGATTACTGCCTCAGAATCAAACTGAACTGCACGTCTCAGAAGACAGCAAGGGGTATCAGTACCCCCAACTAGTGGAGACTACTAAAAGGAAATTGCTGAGAATGACCTCTAACTTTCCATGCTTTAACCCACAGAAGCCCAAGGGAGAAGTGGAAGAAAGCCTTAAGCGGAGTTTAAATCCTCAATGATCATGCGTGGGGTGCAGGATGTAGGTAAGAGGAGTAACTACAATTCCCTGAAATTAACTGATTAGATTATGCTAATCTAGTGCCAGACAGGATGGAACTAACCTAGAGTCCAAGTTCTGGGTCCTTATCTTTCAGCAGGAAGAACCTGGTGTGTACAGATTTCTTGTAAATAAATATGAGATTTAAGAATTTATGAGGTCTGACAGTTGACAAACTCATCCTAGAAAAAGTGCTATATGCCTCATTGCTAAATAGTAACAGTCACCTTCAAAGTACTCCCTTTGAGAAGTTATGCACTAAAGCCAGTTCATAGTCTACTCTTCAAAGCAATTTTGGAACTATTTTTCTGGAATGGCCATCAGAGCTATTGTCATACTATCGTTGATGTCGTGAATGACATCAACATGTTTTGTTTTCAATATTTCCTTTATCATCAGGTAAAGAAAAAGTCCCTGGGGGCCAGATCCAGTCACTGGGTGAGTAGGGAGGGTGTTCCAAGGCAGCATTTGTTTACTGGCTAAAACCTCCCTCACACACAGTGCTGTGTGAGCTACTATGCTGTCATGATGCAAGGGCCATGAGGTATTGGTGAAAAGCTCAAATCTTTTTCATATAACTTTTTCATGTAGCCTTTTCAGCACTTCTAAAGAGTAAACTCAGTTAACTATTTTTCTAGTTGGTACAAATTCACAGTGAATAATTCCTCTGATATCAAACAAAGTTAGCAACATCATTCTTACTCCTGACTTGGACTGATCGAACTTTTTTGGTTATAGAGAACTGGTTGACTTCCATTGTACACTTTGATACTTTGTTTCAGGGTCATATTGGTACACCCATGTTTCACCACCAGTGATAACATGGCCCAAAGCATCATCTTGCCTCTCCAAAAGGTCTTGGCAGACTTTGACTCTCCTTTGCTTTTGCTTATCAGTGAGCTCCACTGGAACCATTTTTGCAAACATCTTTCCATGCCAAGTTTTTTCAGTTAAGATTTTCCCAGTTTTAGCTTGGGGCCTGTAACTCAGTGGTTAGGGCGTTGGCCACATGCACTGGGGCTGGTGGGTTCAAACCCAGCTAGGGCCTCCTAAACAACAAAGACAACAATAACAAAAAAGTAGTCGGGCAATATGGCAGGTTCCAGAAGTCCCAGCTACTGGGAGTCTGAGGCAAGATAATCTCTTAAGCCCAACAGTTTGAGGTTGCTGTGAGCTGCGACAACGCCATACACTCTGCCAAGGGCAATATTGTGAGACTTTGTCTCAAAAAAAAGATTTTCCCATTTTCTCTATCCATGTTTACTCGGTCTGCTATGCTTCTCATAGTCAATCAATGTTTCTGATGCACAATTCAATGGATTTTTATTATTTTTTTATTTTTTTATTTTTTGAGACGGAGCCTCAAGCTATCCCCCTGGATAGAGTGCCATGGCATCACAGCTCATAGCAACCTCCAACTCCTGGGCTCAAGCGAGTCTCCTGCCTCAGCCTCCCAAGTAGCTGGGACCACAGGCGCCCACCACAACGCCTGGCCATTTTTTGGTTGCAGCCATCATTGTCGTTTGGCGGGCCCGGGCTGGGGATTCAAACCCGCCACCTTAGGTGTATGTGGCCGGAGCCTTAGCCGCTTGAGCCACAGGCGCCGAGCCAATTCAATGGATTTTTAAATTGTTTTCATCAGTTCTGTTTATGACCAGCCACCCTGACCTCTCTTCATCAGTGATGCTTTCTCTTCCCTCAGAAAATTGTTTAATCCATTTGTACACTGCCCTTTTCTTCATGGCATTATTCCCATAAACTTGGACTAACACATCCCTGATTTCATTTCCACTTTTGCCAAGTTTAACAAGAAATTTAACGTTTGTTGTCTAATTCAAGCTCTGACATTCTCATGACAGCACACAAAAACAAGCAACAATAACAAACACCACTCATTATAACACTACCACGTGTTGACACAAACACAGCTGTCAGACCCTGACATACAAAGATTATGAAATCTCACTGAATTGTTTGTACAGTGCTGCCAATGTAAGCACACGGTGGCAAGTTTGCAAACTTAATTGTCAGAACACGTTACAGGGCAGGACTCCTTGAGAAAATGTCACAATTATAAATATTATAACAATCAGTATATTTCAGTTAAGACATTTCCATACCTTCTGCATGACTTTTCTTGCCCACCTCAACTGCAAGATGTACCACTGTGCTACAGGAAAAGAACACCGAGCTGCCCGGAAAAGCAAGAGAACACGCTGAAGGATTCCAGACACCTTCTGGCGATTATCTTTTTCAGCTTTTAACAGAAAATCGTCACCATGTTCCTGAAGAGAATAAAACAAATCAATTTTAGTGGATAAGCAGGAAATTAAAATAATGTAAAAATGATGATATTCAGTGCTTCTCATACCAGAATGTTGCAGGAAATTTATGAAAGAAATTTTTAGGAAGAGACTCTGAGATTTCAACTACAGATATTTCTATGTCAAAGAAAGATTTCTCTCCCCTCAAACAATGGATACAGCTAAGTTAACCTTAGTCCCAAGTATTACCCTAGAACAGTTAAAACTTACCACTCCTGACTCCACTTGTGGAATGTTACAGAACTCCTTCTAAGAGAACACTTTTTCCCTTTCTGTGCCTAGAAAAACCCTACAGTATTCCATGTCACCTCCTCTGTGAAACCCCTACCCTGTGCTATAACAGCACTTTGCTCACACTTCCATTGTAGCTTTACAAATTTATTCTGTATTGATTTATGTTTCTGTTTCCCACTATATGAGAATTCCTAAAACCAAAGGCCTTGTCATTTTTTTTTTTTTTTTTTTTTGAGACAGAGCCTCAAGCTGTCCCCCTGGGTAGAGTGCCGTGGCATTACAGCTCACAGCAACCTCCAACTCCTGGGCTCAAGCGAGTCTCCTGCCTCCGCCTCCCAAGTAGCTGGGACCACAGGCGCCCGCCACAACGCCCGGCTATTTTTTGGTTGCAGCCATCATTGTTGTTTTGGCGGGTCCGGGCTGGGGATTCGAACCCGCCACCTTAGGTGTACGTGGCTGGCGCCTTAGCCGGTTGAGCTATAGGCGCCGAGCCGGCCTTGTCATTTTACGTATTATCATGGTACAAAGAATAAAGTCCAACTTGTAGTAGGATCCAATAAATGTTAGTTGAATAAATGCTGTTCAAACCAGGTGCTAAAGATCATTTTCATAGAGAATGAAATAGTATGAGCATGTAAACATTTGCTACCCCAACATTCTTCTTCCCTGCCCACTTCTTAACAGTACTCATTATCTACCTCTGTCCTACACAGCCCCTATGATTCACAAAAAGCTGATCCCACATCCCCAGCTTCCAATGAAGGCCCTAATTGCATGCCAACCTTGCATTAATACTAGCCAAGGTAACTGATTAAAGGACAGGCATGTGACCTATGCCAGTCTCATAAGAGTAAATCTCAGTTCCCTTGCTTAGAATGCTAGGAGATAATTCTGCTGGTTTTTCCCTTCCTTCTCCTGTACACTTGGACAAAGCATCCTCAGAAGCTGTTGAAACTGTTCATCCTCCCACAAAGGGAGCTAGCTTTCAGGCCAAGATGTTACCTTAGAAAACAAACTAAAGAGAGAGAAAGAGCCCAATCTTTGATAATACAGCTGAGTGAGAAGTCTTCCCCTCAGAAAAGAACAAGTGATCCCATCTCAGGGTGGGCAAAAAACTTGAAGAGAAACTTCTCTGAAGAAGACAGGCGCACGGCCTACAGACACGTGAAAAAAATGCTCATCATCTTTAATCATCAGAGAAATGCAAATCAAAACTACTTTGAGATATTATCTAACTCTAGTAAGATTAGCCCACATCACAAAATCCCAAAACCAGAGATGTTGGCGTGGATGTGGAGAAAAGGCAACACTTCTACATTGCTGGTGGGAATGCAAACTAATACTTTTCTTTTGGAAAGATGTTTGGAGAACACTTAGAGAACTAAAAATAGACCTGCCATTGGATCCTACAATTCCTCTACTAAGTATCTATCCAGAAGACCAAAAATCACATAACAAAGATATTTGTACGAGAATGTTTATTGCAGCCCAATTCATAATTGCTAAGTCATAGAAGAAGCCCAAGTGCCCATCGACCCACAAATGGATCAATAAATTGTGGTATATGTACACTGTGGAATATTATGCAGCCTAAAAGAAAGATGGAGACTTTACTTCTTACATGTTTACATGGATGGAGCTGGAACATGGAAGAAAAAGTATCCAGTGTACTCAGTCTTACTATGAAACCAATTTATAGTTTTCATACAAAAGCTATAACCCAATTATAGCCCAAGAATATGGGGAAAGGGGGGAGGGAGAGGAGAGGAGAGGATGGGTGGAGGGAGAGTAATTGGTGGGACCACACCTACCATGTATCTTACAAAGGCACATGTGAAATTTACTAGGTGTAGAATATAAATGTCTTAACACAATAACTAAGAAAATTCCGTGAAGGCTATGTTAACCAGTTTGATGAAAATATTTCAAATTGTATATAAAACCAGCAAATTGTACCCCATGATGGCATTAATGTACACAGCTATGATTTAATTTTTAAACAAAGGAAATATAAATAAAAGAAATGAAGGAATGAAAAAAAACATAATAAAACAAAAAACCCTAGCACATTATACCCCATGATTGCATTAATGTACACAGCTATGATTTAATTAAAAAAAGAAAAAAAAAAAAGAGAAGCCTTTCCTTCCACTGGGTTTCTCAATTATGTGAGCCAATAAGTGGCCTTATTGTTTAAACCATTTTGACCAATTTTTCTTCCTTTTTTCAAAGTTCACATTAATATGAGGCGACAGACAATTGTGTTACACTGTTTGCACTTGTTAGGTAGAGTCCAAGTTGTAGTTGGTGCCCTTCACCCAGAAAGTGTGCCATACACCCTTACGTTGTGCCTGTTAGGTAAGAGCACCCTAGTCCCCCTCCTCATTCCTCTCCCCTACTTGAGTTTAACTTGGTGACCAAGTTTTCTACTACCTGCAACACAAGGCGTTCTAATTGATATACAGTGACATTTAGGAGAAATCCTATCACCAAAGATTACTTCAATAAAAAAAAAAATGAAGCCTTCCTAAAGATAGTAACCACTCAAACTAATATGTCTAACAGCAGAGAATATCCAAAAATACCTTAAATGCCATTTTTAATTTCTAAATCAATATATTAAAGACTTAGGTATGAGAAGAAAGATAAATTATTAAAAATGCCATAAACTATTTATTCTTTCCATTTGTATGTAATATGTTACATTTGCAATATCACCAACTAGAATACTTTTAATCTATCAAAACATAAATCCTATTGCTTTGTTTTGTTTTTTATTTTGAGATAGAGTCTCACTCTTTTGCCCTGGGTAGAGTGCCATGGCATCATAGCTCACAGCAACCTCAAACTCAGGGTCACCTAATCCTCTCGCCCCAGCCTCTGGAGTAGCTAGAACTACATGCACCTTACATAATGTCTGGCTATTTTTTTTTTTTTAAGAGATGGGGTCTTCCTCTTGCTCAGGTTGGTCTTAAACTCCTAAGCTCAGGTAGTACTCCTGCCTCGGCCTCCCAGAGTGCTAGGATTACGGGCCTGAGACACCATGCCTGGCCAAAACATAACTCTAAATATTGCAGCCCAATTCATAATTGTAACAATTATAACAATTCATAATATGTCAACAATACTCTAAAAATATATATTTCTGTAAAAGAGAAATAAAGAAAAAATTAGATACAGAAGGAAGTTGAAATACTGAAATAGGAAGTAGTAAAGAATACTTGAATACTTCAAAGTACTACTCCAATTATTTTAAAAATCTAAATGTAAATAATTTATAATAAAACTTCAGAACAATTTTTTTTAAGACAGTCTTACTTTGTTGCCCTTGGTAGAATGCCATGGACTCACAGCTCACAGCAGGCTCAAATGATCCTCTTGCCTCAGCCGCCCAAATAGTTGGGGACTATAGGTGCTTACCACAATCCCTAGCTATTTTTTTGGAGATGCTCTCACTCTTGCTCAGGCTGGTCTCAAACTTGTGAGCTCAAGCAATCCACCTGCCTCAGCCTTCCAGAGTGCTAGGATTACAGGTGTGAGCCACTATGCCTGACCAACACTTTCAATTTTTTTAACACTTCAATTTTTCTTTTTTTTTTTGAGACAGAGCCTCAAGCTGTCCCCCTGGGTAGAGTGCTATCACAGCTCACAGCAACCTCCAATTCTTGGGCTCAAGTGAGTCTCCTGCCTCTGCCTCCCAAGTAGCTGGGACTACAGGCACCCAGCAGAACGCCCAGCTATTTTTTGGTTGCAGCCATCATTGTTGTTTGGCAGGCCTGGGCTGGATTTGAACCTGCCAGCTCAGGTGTGGTGGCTGGCCACTTAGTTACTTGAGCCACAGGCACTGAGCCTAACACTTCAAAATTTAAAAGTAGCTTATTGTAATCATAACATTGTGGTTACCACAATGCCTGGCTATTTTTTTGGAGATGCTCTCACTCTTGCTCAGGCTGGTCTCAAACTCGTGAGCTCAAGTCACAAGCTCAATGTTATGATTTTTAATAAGAGCAGAGGAAAAGTTCCTGAGAGTAATACAGTTTTGCTACTTATAAGATATAACTACAATTAAAGAGTACAAGAGAGTGGCTCGCAGCCTGTAGCTCAGTAGCTAGGGCAGCAGGCCACATACACTGGGGCTGGTGGGTTCAAACCTGGCCTGGGCTTGCCAAACAACAGTGACAACTACAACAATAACAATAGCTGGGCATTGCGGTGGGTGCCTGTAGTGCCAGCTACTAGGGAGGCTGAGGCAAGACAATCACTTAAGTTCAAGAGTTTAAGGTTACTATGTCACCATGGTACTCTACTAACGGTGACATAGTGAGACTCTGTATCAAAAAAAAAAAA